GTATTTACTGGAACAGGCATTTACTTCCAGTAGGTTTCTGGCAAAAAACATCCATGCAGGGGAAATGGATTTGCTTAACAACCATCCTGTTCTCTTGCAACTGTTGCAAAAACTGCTGAAAAAATGGAGTGCAGTCATGTGATACCTTGACTTAAACTGCAGCAATTCATAGACATAACTCGAGAACTACCTGTAGTATTCTCTCAGAGAACTGGATGGTGTTGATCCTTCTTTCTAAAAGTCTTTGAAGATCTAGCATCCCCTCGGGCATTGGTTCAGATTTTTTTGAACCAATCGTTCTAATATTTTTATATATGTTTAATTTTTTTTTCTCTCTGCAACCGTGTCCATGTGGTGAAAGGAGATTGAACAGCAAGTGAAAGATAGTCCAGGAACAGAAGCAAAGGATGGGTGACACTTACTTAGCTCTGTCATCTGCTTTCTGAATACCCATGATTCCTCAATCTTCCATATGTTGAGAATTGATACTAATATAATAAGGGAGGAGAATTGATTAATGAAGGAAACAAATGTGTATCAACATTGATATAATTTTGGTTTAAGATCAATGGAACCATGGAGTTTTTGGTTGCTTTCTCAGCTTGATGGTTTGGTTGCAGATGTTTCATTGCCCAACTAGGTAGCAACATCACAACTAGTTACTTAGGTAATAAAACATCTGCAACCAAACTGCTTAGCTCAGGGAGCACCCAGGACTCCACAATTCAACCCTGTCCATAGATCCCTTCTATTAAAATCAGTGGATCATTTGAAGAATTCTATTTCTTATAAAAAAGAAACCATGCATTTCCACATTGTAAATGTTCAATTATGAATTTGATCTGTATCAAAAGTTGGAGTTCAGTAAATTTTAGACTATTGTTTATGTTGATCAATATGATCGAAGTTCAAAATGTTGCTTATGTCAACCTTCCATCCAGATGTTTAGAATCACTTCTTATTCCTTAACCTTTATTTCTTAGTTTTTCACCACATTTTACTTTTGTTTTCTTTTAAGGAGCCAATGAGCAACAGAACGAGACTTGTGGGATAACACTCCAGACAATCTGGCCCGTGAAGGGAGTAGAAAAAATGGCAGATCAGAAGGAAACAGAATGTTGCCAAAGAAATTTATCACAAATTGGAAATCAGGATAGCTTAGTTTCCCAGCCTTTTTGGAGTATAAATGATTTTATTGCACAACAAAATCAAACTGGAATAAAAAACAAAGAGTATTTTGAGAACAGAGTGAAAACATTCGAAGAGAAATCAGATATAAAGAATGATTACCAAACTCATTCTACAGAACAATATGGATACAAGGAAGGTGAAAAAAGTCACAGTGGGACCCTTATTCTTCCCATACCTGGAAAGGAAAGTATGGGAAATAAACCCTATAAGTGCATGGAATGTGGAAAGAATTTCAAGTGGAATTGTCTGCTTATTTCCCACAAACGGATCCACACAGGTGACAAACCATACAAATGCACGGAGTGTGGAAAAAGCTTCAACAAGAACTGTTTCCTTATATATCATAAAAGGATCCATACAGGAGAGAAACCCTACAAATGCGCTGAGTGTGAAAAAGCCTTCAGTCGGAGGAGCACCCTTACTCTCCATAAAAAGATCCATACAGGAGAGGAAGGCTATAACTGCACGGAGTGTAAAATGATGTTCAGAAAGAGAAGCCAGCTTATTTCCCATAAAAGGATCCATACTGGGGAGAAACCATATAAATGCATAGAGTGTGGAAAAAGCTTCCAGCTAATTAAGTCCCTTACTTCCCATAAGAAGATCCACACAGGAGAGAAACCCTATAAATACACAGAGTGTGTAAAAAACTTTAGTCAAAGCAGTCAACTGATCTCCCATAAAAGGATTTACTCGGGGGAGAAACCGTATATATGTACAGAGTGTGGAAAGAGCTTCACTAAGCGGAGTCGTCTTGTTTGCCATAAAATAATTCACACAGGGGAGAAACCATTCAAATGCACGGAGTGCGGAAAAAGTTTCAGCCAGAACAGTTACCTTAGGTCCCATAAAAGGATCCATACAGGAGAGAAACCCTATAAATGCACGGAGTGTGAAAAGACCTTCAGTTGGAACTGTGACCTTATTTCCCATAAAAGAATCCACACAGGTGAGAAACCGTACAAATGCACAGATTGTGGGAAAAGCTTCAGCAAGAACAGTTCCCTTACATCCCATAAAAGGATCCATACAGGAGAGAAACCCTATAAATGCACCGAGTGTGAAAAGACCTTTAGTCGGAGCAGCAACCTTATTTCTCATAAAAGGATCCACACTGGAGAAAAACCCTATAAATGCATGGAGTGTGGGAAGAGCTTTAGCGAAAATAGGTCCCTTAAAATTCATATGAGGATCCATTCAGGAGAGAAGCCTTATAAACGCCCAGAGCATGGAAACACTTTTAGTCAAAGCTCTACACTCATTTCTGTCCCGCAGAGTACAGAAAACTACATATGTTTTGAATATGGAAACAGTTTCTGGTGGAATAGTCATCTTGCATCCGATAAAAAAATCCACACAGGGGAGAAACCATATCAGTGTGGGGAATATGGGAGAATATTTCAACAAAGCAGCTCACTTATTTCCCACCAAAATATCCACGCTGGAGAAATGTTTGGAATGTGGAAAGCGTTTCAGGGGGAGCACTCAGCTTACTTTCCATAAAAGGATCCATTCTGGCATGCTGTACAAATGCCTGGAGTGTAGAAAGAGCTGCAGTCAAGGAAGTAATCTCATTTCTCTTAAAACAACCCACACGGAAAAAGTGATATGACTGTCTGGAACGGGACCTTCCATGTGGGATGAGCTTTGTGAATAGTAGGAACCTTAGTTCAGATACACGATCCACAAAAACCGTATAAATGCATGAAGTGTGGAGAGAGGAAATCACATACAAGGATCCACTTGAGTACTAAACCATAGAAGTACTAGATATATTTGCTTCATTTGTACATACTCAAATCTTACAAACCTTGGAGGGTTTGTGCCTTAATTTTTTTGTCAGTTTGTTTCTTTCCGATGCACAGGTGAATAAAGATTAAAGGGTTGAGTATGTTGGTATTTCAAATAATCAGGAAAAAAGAGATATTTGGAAATCCATGGGGCCCAACATAAATAAAATAACATAAAATCAAGTAAAGCAGTCCTTCACTCCTAAATGGTCGAGGAGTTTCTTCTGATCAAATAGACAATAAACTTGATATCAGCCACTGATTTTCAACATTTCTATAAAAGAAAGACGCTTACATCAGTTTTGCGGATGGGATGGGATAGGATAAGATAACCTTTATCATCACTTTTTTTGCGTGAGCACACTGCCACGTTAAAAAACGAAATGTTGATGCCCATTCTCAAAAGAAAATTAAATATATAACCATACACATGTGTGCACACATATACATATGGTATATATATATTTACACACATATGTATATTAATCACAGTCCATTTTGAATACATAGCAGAAAAATAGTCTCGAGAGTTAACAAGATTGTTAACTGTATTGGTTACTATATGGTGGGAGATCCCTATAAGGTGGGTGTCCAACTTTGGCAACTTTAAGACTTGTAGACTTCAACTCCAGAATTTATCAGCCAACATGGTTAAGAGTTGAAGTCTACAGGTCTTAACATTTCCAAGATTGGGCAGTCCTGCTGTAAGACAAATACATATTTGCAAAAGAATCTGGATAGATCAGTGTTTCTCAGCCTTGGCAACTTCAAGATATGTGGACTTCAACTCCCAGAATTGGCAACACTGGAATACACTAATAGGTTTCCCATAAAATTGATCAGTTACCTCTTTTTCTTTCCTTTTCTCCTTTTTCTCTTCCTCTTTTTTTCCCTTTGCTTTTCAACAAGACTTTCCTTTTGCATTCTTTGTTGCGCCAGCTAGAGCTAAATTTCACATTGAGGCAGACTGCTTTGAGCAGTTTCTATTCCAACTAAAAGTTGCCTTTGAAGGTAACTCAGAAGCTACTTCAGAGATTCTGTTTAACAGAATAGCAGAGTTGGAAGGGAGGTCTTCTAGTCCAACCCCCTGCTGGCATAGGAAACCCTATGCCATTTTAGACAAATGGTGGTCCAATCTCTTCTTTAAAACTTTCTCAACCTTGGCTGCTTTAACATGTGGGAACAACAATTCCCAGCCAGCCCAGAATTCTGGGAGTTGTAGTTCACACATGTTAAAATGCTCAAGGTTGAGAAACATTGGCTAGATTGTTAGCACGTGAAACCAGCTTTTCTTGAATGATGAATCTTGGGAGGTTCAGGTAAGGCTGCATCAGGCCTATCAAACTGGCGGCCCGTGGGCTGGATACATCAAGTGCAGGCCACACCCACCCCTGCTCCACAAAGGCAAAAAACATGTCCTGTGACAATCAAGTTTGACACCCCTGGTCTACAGGCTGTCCGGCTTGATTTAAGGTGTGAATTATTACCCACTATTACCAATTCAAAATGATCCAGGGTTATCTTAGGAATCACTTTATCTAAAATGTGTCAGCCCACCTGTTGGGCCATTAAGAAAGGGCCTAGTTAGGGTACCATGCCCATATCAAGTGGGAACATGGGCAGAAGATGCGTTTACAGTGATGGCCCCAACACTGGAACATGAGACCTTGGTGCTCTCTGAGTTTGGTGGTTATTTTGCTTCTTGATTAGTTTCCATCCATTGCTTCTTGTCCTTCCTTCAGGTGAGTTGGAGAATAGGTTGACACCCCCCTTCTTTGTGGCAATCCTCAAATATTGAAACTCTGCTATCGTGTCACCCCTAGTCCTTTCCACTAGACTAGACATATCCAATTCCTGCAACCATTGCATGACTTAGCCTTCAATCCCCTAATCATCTTCATTGCTCTTCTCTGCGCTCTTTTTAGAGTCTCCAAATCCTTTTCAGATTGTGGCAACCAATAACGATGCAATATTCTAAGTGGTATTAGCAGGGCATTAGAAAGCAGTGCAAACACTTCACGTGATCTTGATTCTATGCTTTGGTTTATACAACCAGGGGTTGTATTAGGTTTTTTGGCAGCTGCAACACACCGCAGGCTCATATTTAACTGATTGCTTACTAGAATTCCAGGATCCTTCTCAGGGTTACTGCTTTTGAGCGGGGTACCACCTATTCTATACCTATGCAATTGATTTTTCATGCCTAGTTATTTCAATTTATCAGTATACCATTTGTCTCCACAGACCAACACGGAGAAACAAGTTACGTTTTATGAGGGAAAAGCCTCTTTTCTCCCTGCCCATAGAAGGGCCGCCTGCATTCTTCAGAGAGCCCGCCAGGGGACTCTCTCTACACCTATACTGGAAGGCCTGGCAGCCTCCCACCTTCAGTGGGGAACTGAGCATGCGCTCACCCGTTTTGCCCGAGGAGATGGAAGAAACTGAGCATGCGCCCTCCCGTTTTACCGGGAGAGATTCCCTTCTCCTGGGGTGGGGGAGGGGAGGAGTGACGTCACCTAAAATCCTGCCTCCCTTTGTTTTTATCCCGAGATAGTGCTAAGAAGTGAAGTGTGTTGCCATGGCAAATGAATTGTGCACAAATTCTGATATTTCTGAGGTAAAACTTTTGGAGCTTCGTTGCTTGAAGTCCGTTTTCCGTTTCAAGACTCTTTTCTCGAAATATTCGATCGCCGCTGGGGGAATTTTAAGCCTTCGCGTGACTCATCCTGTCACGACCACCATTTTTTCCCTCTTCTTGGCGCCATGACGGGCTCCTCAATAATCTGCCTTTTTAATCTGGGTCCATCCGTGTCTTTGACAAGATCCTCAAGTGAAGCGGGTTTGTGCGTGAAAAAAGGAGCCTTTGGGAGGTTCATATTTATGATTATTTCAATTCCTTCAGTCGGTCGATATATGTTTTAAGTCTCCACAGACCATCGTGGAAAACGTTTTATGAGGCGAAAGAGAATCCCTCTTTCCACTCCTCGATCCCTCCCCCCTCACCGTGCTCTTAAGCACCGCCTGCATTTTACAGAGAGCTCGCCAGGGGGCTCCCTCTTGCACCTACTGGAAGGGCTAGCAGCTTCCCAGCTTCAGTGAGCAACTGAGCATGCGCCTGCCTGATTTGTAAAGGGAAAGGGAAGATTCCCTTCTGAAGATTCTCCTGGTACAAAAGGAAAGGAAATGACATCACCAAAAGTGCGACCTCTCTAGGATCTCCCAAGGCGAATTGAAGGGGTGGTGAGAATCAAAGCTCCAGACCAGTCATGTTGCCCCCACCCCAGCTGGAAGGGACCTTGGAGATCTTCTAGTCCAACCCCCTGCTCAAGCAGGAGACCCTATACCATTTCAGATAGGTGGCTGTCCAGTCTTTTCTTAAAAACTTCCAGTGATGAAGCACCCACAACTTCTGAAGGCAAACTGTTCCACTGGTTAATTGTCCTCACTTGTTAGGAAGTTTCTCTTTAATTCCAGGTTGCTTCCCTCCATACGTTGTTTCTTGTCTTGCCTTCTGGTGCTTAGGTAAATAAATTGTCCTCTTCTTTGTGGCAGCCCCTCAAATACTGGAAAACTTCTATCATGTTATCCCAGTCCTTCTTTTCTCTAGGCTGGCCCTACCCAATTCCTTATTACTATCGTTATGATTATTACTCTGTTGTTTTCCAGATATACTGAGAGCTTCTGCACTGGAAACAAATTTCTTGTGTGTCTAATCACACTTGGCCAAATAAAGTATTCTATTCCATTTATCCTCATACAGGTACCAAAATAACTTGTGAGCAAAAGGGATGAAGGAGCTGTTGAGTCTTCTCTAGGAGTTCTGCACAATGTAGTTCCTGGGAATGAAAAGATCCTTGGAGAACTGCAAGATTTCTTAGCTACATTTGAAGTTGTGCTAGAGGATAGAGAAAATGGAGGAATATCTAGCATTTGATGGAGCTGAAAAAGGCCGTCTAGAAGCTCATTCTTGGACCTATAAGGATGTTTGGGCAAAAACTGAGCAGAAGGTCCTAGAGGAGGACACTATCAGTTCAGAGGTCCAGCACAGGCTCTTCAGGAGCATCCAGTACCAAGATTCTAAGGGCCCCCGAGAAATTTGTAACCACCTTCATCACCTTTGCCGCCAGTGGTTACAGCCAGAAAGACATACTAAAGCTCAGATGTTGGATCTGGTGATCCTGGAGCAGTTCCTGACTATCCTGCCCCCAGAAATTGAGAGTTGGATTCGGGAGTGTGGAGCAGAGACCAGTTCTCAGGCGGTGGCCCTGGCCGAAGGTTTCCTCCTGGGCCAGGTGGAAGAGCAGAAGAAGACAGAGATGCAGGTGAGAGACCTTCTTTTTGAGACACAAAAGGGGAGTTAATGTTACAAACAGTGTTTGAGTCCTTAAATATCTCCTCAACATAATATGAAAAGATGGCTAACAGTGGTTCTTCTGCTGCTTGCTCCTTTCTTTTTACCTGCTACTTCCCTTCCAGAAGTCATTCTTCAGCATAGTCCCTTATCATTCCAAGGGAGTACAAAATCCATCAAATTCCTCTCTGAACCACCTTTCTAGGAAATTCACTGAGGAAGTTCAACTTCAGGACACTTCACTGGGTAAGAATGTATTCCTTCCAAGCGGTGTGAAATTCTACAGAAAGATTAGAAATACCTCCCATTGTCTGGATCTTCTCATGCATAATTTTGCTTTTAAAAACACTTATTCCACCATTTTTGTCTCCTTTGCAGAAGATATAACAGTTCCACTGATATTTCTAGGATCCCCTCCTTGTACCGGTGGAGCTGAAAAAGTAACTGAATCAGTTGTTCAGATAGGAGGAGAAGCTTCAGTAAGTTGCAAAGAACTGTTTTGAGGCTTCCTGATTTGTTGTGGGGTTGAAGTATAATATTGTTGCTTCTAACCAACGTGAAAAGGGAAAATGTGGGTTCAGTCCTTGACCGGTTACACTTAGCTTATCTCTCTGCTTGTTAAAGTTCAATTTTGAACTTTGAACTTCAATTTTGAAGTCCACATGACTTAAAGTTGAGAAGTTCTGGTCTAGACGCTACCTAGGCAATTTCATGTACCTGTTCAGGGAAGAGAGTTAATCCCTGATAAGGTATCATGGTCTACATGTAATTCCTTGAGCAGTTGGTTAACAGGGTCCTGTTTTTCCTTGTCCAGGAGGGTCTTGTGTCCTTCGAGGAGGTGGCAGTGTATTTCTCCGAGGTTGAATGGTCTCAGCTGGATCCCCCCCAAAAAGTCCTCTACAGGGAAGTCATGCAGGAGAATTCTCAGAATGTGGCCTCTCTGGGTAAGCAATAGCAATTAGACTTATATACCTCTTCACAGTGCTTTTACAGCTCTCTTTAAGCAGTTTACAGAATCAGCATATTGTCTCCAACATTCTGGGTCCTCATTTTACCAACCTCAGAAGGATGAAAGGCTGAGTTAACCTTACACCTGGTGAGATTCAAAGTAGCCTGCAGTACTGCATTCTAACCACTGCACCTCTGTTGGACCATCAGATGCTTAGAGGAGACATTTGTGATAGGGTAAAATTGGCTATTTCTGTTCAAAAGATATCCCTGCTTCTAGGAAAAGATGAAACCAGTAGGTTAGATTAGGGTCAAGGAAATGCGCAGCAAGTGTCCAAATGAAGTCAGAGACACTGACACGAACTTATAGCTTTATATAAATAAATATATTTTACATCTATATTTACAGCAGATAAGATAGTCAGATAAAGAGGAGCATCATGAGGTAAATCACAGTGCACACAGAGCACAGAAGATAAAGGCAAAAAAAAAAGAAAGAAACTCCCCCTCCACACCCACAGCAACCAATCATAGGACAGATTGCCTCATCCAGGAGCCAGCACTCTCCAACCAATCATATATCCTGTGTTCTGGCTCACTGCACAACCCCACTGATCCGGCTTCTAAATTTAAATATCAAACACCTCTCCAATTTATAATGGACAGCATTTAAACGTTGTTTCACAAGATCCTTGTATTTCTGTATACCCAATAGCTTTGTCATGAGGTCAGCCAAATTATCTTCCGATGGGCAATAAATTAGGTCTATTACATTTTCTTTTGCTACTTCTCTGACATTACGATATTTTATGTCAACATGTTTCCTTCTGATTTTTACTCTTTCAGCTGTTGCCATTTGTATACATCTTCAAATACTGGTATAGCTCCTTTCACTTTAATATCCAAATGTTTTAACAATTGTATATAGTATGTTGTCACTGAACAGAACTCTGATAATGCTATGAATTCTGCTTCAGCTGTAGAAATGGCAACTCAAGTCTATTTTCTAGATTTCCAACCAACTTGTGTATTTACGAACATTACAACAAATCCTGATGTTTATTGTCTATCTTATACCTCATTAGCCCAATCACTGGTAACAAAACATTTCCATTCAAATTCATTTGTTGGTTTTAAATGCAATTCCAAATCCATCGTTCCCTTTAAATAACATAGTATTCTTTTAATTCCAAAACCAGTGTTGTTGTGTACGTTTTGAGCAACTAACCTTGCTTTATATTGTACTTCATCGTTCATCAAAAGTTTCTTTTTTGTACACCCATCTGACCCAACAGCTTTTTGTCCCTCTGGTAACCTGATTGGAGTGAAAACTTTATATTTTTGCATTGACAACATTTCTTCATCCATAGCCTCTTTCCATTTCTCTTGTTCTGCCAGAGGTAAATTTAATACTTCTGGTAATTTGGGGCTCATAAAATATGTTACATACTTTTACCTCATCAACTGTGAATCTTTCTCGAGGAACACTTTGCTCTTTCAGACTTCCTTGGAATAAATTGTTCCTGTTTCACTGGAATCTCACTTTGTAAATATTCCTCTGAGCTGTACTCAGACCCTGAGCTACTCTCAGATTTCTGTTTAACATGCCTGTGTGAATGGACTAGAAGTGTTCTGAGAGACACTCCAGATTTTAGCCTTGCTCTATAAAGTTTTCTGGTGAGAGTTACTTTGCTGCTTGCTGTTGTGGCCCCGCCCTCTGAGCCTGTCCCATCGGAGGAAGAAAGCTCCGAGCATGAGGAAGAGGAGTCAGCCAGGCCTCCCTCTCCAGGCCCCTCCCCTCTGGCATTGTCTCAAGTGCCGGTCGAGGGAGAGGAAACAGCTGCTTCGGATCAGAGTGATAATGACACATCATTCCTGGACGCACGCCTCCGAAGGCGTGATAAACGTTTGCAGCAGCTGGGGAGGCGTGCTAGGGATTAGAAGTGAGTCACTGGACCACACCCCAGAGACCACACCCCAGAGACTATATAATAGAGGGTGGTGGTCAAGGATCTTTTGTGACGAACAAAAGCAAAACCTTGGAGTCACTAAAGCCTCGTCCGGAACTGCTGGGAGGAATATTATTTCTGTTTGGACTTTCTTGAACGTTCGTATCTTATCTGTCTGTTTGTGAAAATAAAGACCCTTGGCAGACGGTGTGTCTATCGCTGCCAAGTCGGAGATAAGACCTGGGTGCGTTCCAAAGTGTTTCCTTAACCCTCGACTGGCTGTGTGGGTGTGTGTGTGGGTACGGGGACAGATCATCTTGTTCGTCACCCCATACTCCATCGTTAACCCACGATGGACCAACAGCTGCAGCAGCAGATACAGCAGATGCTGGAGGCCAATCAGCTTCTGCAACAGCAAGTAGCACAGCTAACTGCCCAACTTGCTTTGGGAAATGCTCCTGCAGCTCCACCTCCTCCCCCTCCCCGTCCGAGATGCCCAGTGAACGTGCCAGATAGGTTTTCTGGGCAGCAGGAGATGTGTCCGGCCTTCTTGGGACAATGCCAACTGTTTATGGCGATGAGGCCGGAGGATTTTCCGGATGACCGGGCTCGGGTGGCATTTGTTATCAGCTCCCTCTCTGGCACTGCCGCCCGATGGGCCACGCCCCTGTTGTTGCAAGATAGCCCCTTGCTCCTGGACTTTCAGGGCTTTTTACAACACCTGCGCACCATGTTTGAGGACCCCCTCCGGGTGCAGACGGCAGCGAGGCGCATCAAGGACCTCCGCCAAGGCAAGCGCCCCCTGCAGGACTATATTGCAGAGTTCCGACTGCTAGGCCAGGATTCGGCTTGGAATGAGGTGGCGCTGATGGACGCTTTCCAGGACGGCCTTTCCAACGAGATGCAGGACGAGCTGGTTCGTGTGGAGGCGCCACCGACCCTCGACGCGCTGGTGACCCAATGCCTGCGCATCGACGCCCGCCTGCAACGGCGACGGCCCCGTCGGGCTCTTCCGGAACCACCGACAGCGTCGGCACCCCCGCGTTTCGCACCGACAGCGCTCCGGACCGCACAGCGTTTTGTGGCGACGGCTGAGGAGCCCATGGAGTTCGGAGCAGCCAGACCTCAACTGACGGCCCAGGAGCGGATGCGGAGACGTCAAGGGGGGTTGTGCCTCTATTGCGGCGAGGCGGGACATTTTGCCGCCTCGTGTCCCCGGAAGCGGAGTGGACCGCTCAAGCCTGTTCCGGAGTCTCGACGCGACCAGCCGGGAAACGGGCCAGGCCTGGCCTAGGGGAAACTCTGGGTCAGGCACGTGACCATGCCCCGCCGGAGTCGGCGGCTGTGGACTGTGAGCCCCCTCGGCACCTGATTTTGAACACCCGGGTGTTGTTGGCTAACCGGTCGGAGGGGCTCCAGGCGCACGCGCTGGTGGACTCGGGGGCCACCACGAACTTTATAGACCAGGCCTTTGTGGCCCATTACAAAGTCCCCTTGGTTCCAGTGGACCCTCCGTTGAGGGTCGAAACTATAGATGGGCGGGAACTCGTGGCGGGGCCCATCAAAACCGCTACCCAACCCTTGCGCCTCGCCATTGGAAACCACGAGGAGGCGATCCAGTTTTACGTAACGGCGGATCTGCACTTTCCCTTGGTCCTGGGGATGGCCTGGCTTCGGGCGCACGACCCTCAGGTGGCGTGGTCGAGAAACGCCATCTCGTTCCCGAGCCTGCAGTGTGTCGACCACCTTCGCCACACCTGCGCCGGCCAGGACGTCTCTGCCCCAAACGCCTCCTTGCCTCCGGAGCTGACGCCCTTCGCCGACGTGTTCAGCGAGAAGGAGGCGGACCGCTTGCCCCCGCACCGACCTTACGACTGTGCGGTGGACCTAATGCCCAACGCGCTCCTGCCCTCGGGACGCCTGTACTCCATGTCGGAGCCCGAGCTGGCCGCCTTACGGGACTTTCTGGAAAAGAACCTGGCCCGTGGGTTCATCCGGCCTTCGACCTCCCCGCTCTCGGCCCCGGTCCTCTTCGTTAAAAAGAAGACGGGGGACTTGCGCCTGTGTTGCGACTACCGGCGCTTGAACGCCATCACAGTGCGAAATCGCTACCCCCTGCCGCTGATCCCGGAGCTTATGGAGAGGTTGCGGGAGGCCTCGATCTTCACTAAGCTCGATCTCCGAGGGGCCTACAACCTGGTGCGCGTGAGAGAGGGGGACGAGTGGAAGACGGCGTTCGGCACTCGGTACGGACACTTCGAGTATACCGTCATGCCGTTCGGATTGACCAACGCCCCCGCGGTCTTCCAGCACTTGATGAACGATGTGTTCCGGGACATGATGGATCGGTTCGTGGTGATCTACTTGGATGACATTTTGATCTATTCCCGGACCCCGGAAAGTCACCTCCAGCATGTCCGCCAGGACCTGCAGCGCCTGCGGGAGCACCAGCTCTATGCGAAGTTGGAGAAATGCTACTTCTTCCAGACTTCCATAGAGTTCCTCGGGCACATCATCACCCCCGAGGGCATCGCGATGGACCCGCGCAAGGTGGAGGCCTTGCGCAGTTGGGAACCCCCGCGTCGGGTGAAGGACGTCCAGCGTCTTTTGGGATTCGCCAACTACTATCGGACCTTCATCCCGGGCTTCGCCACCCTGACCTTGCCGTTGACCCAGCTCCTTCGGAAGAAGGTCCCGTTCCAGTGGGGGCCCCCGCAGCAGCAGGCCTTCGAGGTCCTCAAGCAGGCCTTCCTCACGGAGCCAGTCCTGAGGCACCCCAATCCACACCGTCCGTTCGTGGTGGAGACGGACGCGTCCAACGTGGCGATTGGGGCGGTGCTGCTACAGGCTCCGGTGGATGGCGGCACTCTTTTTCCCTGCGCATACTACTCCCGGAAACTCAACCCTTCCGAGCGCAACTACACCATCTGGGAAAAGGAGTTGCTGGCCATCAAGGCCGCGTTCGAGGCTTGGCGACATCACCTCGAGGGGGCCCGACACCAGGTGGAGGTGCGGACAGACCATCGGAACCTGGAGCACCTCACCACGGCCAGGAAGTTGAACCAGCGGCAGATCCGGTGGTCGTTGTTTTTCGCCCGGTTCAACTTCCACGTCACATACATTCCGAGCAACCTCAACCAGAGGGCGGACGCGCTATCCCGTAAGCCGGAATACTTTTGCCCCAAGGACTCCCTTCCCCCCTGGACGGTGCTGCCAGCGGACTCCTTGGCCGCGGTCCAGGAACCGGTGGACCTGCGGGCTCAGGTGCTGGAAGCGCAGCGACAGGATGACTGGTCGCAGCAGCGGAGAGCGGACGTCGGTCCCGCGTCCCCATGGACCGTGGAGGAGGGCTTGCTCAGACACCGGGGTCGGCTGTACGTGCCCACGAGTCCGCTCCGAGCCCTCGTCATGAACCAGTGCCATGACAACCCCGCGGCGGGGCACTTCGGCTTCTTTAAGACTTTGAACTTGGTGACGCGGACTTTTTGGTGGCCTCGGGTACGGCACGACGTGCACACCTACGTGACGTCCTGTGTGACGTGCCGACAGGCCAAAGCCGTGTCCGGTCCCCCTCCCGGACTCCTCCAGCCGCTGCCGACACCGGAGAGACCGTGGGGAGCCATCTCCATGGACTTCCTGACAGACCTGCCCCTGTCCGCTACGTACACGACCGTCCTCGTGGTGGTGGATGCGCTCACGAAGATGGCACATTTCATCCCGTGCCGCGGCCTGCCCTCGGCCCGCACCACGGCTCGCTTGTTCCTGCAACATATCTTCCGCCTCCACGGCCTGCCGGACCGGGTGGTTTCGGACCGCGGGGCCCAGTTCACGGCCCGCTTCTGGAAAAGCCTGATGGCTGCGCTGGAGGTGCAGGTGTGCCTGTCGTCGTCACATCATCCGGAGACTGACGGGGGCACGGAGAAGGTCATCGGCATACTGGAGCAGTACCTCCGCTGTTTTGTCAACCAGCAGCAGGACAACTGGGCCGAGTACCTTCCCCTGGCGGAGTTCGCTTTTAATAACTCCCAACACACCTCCACCCAGATGACCCCGTTCCATGCCAACGTCGGATACCATCCACGGCTTTTCCCGTTGACCATCATGGATTCCCCTGTTCCCGAGACCCGGGACTTCCTCTCAGAGCTGCAGGCAGTGCAGCAACTGGTGCGGCGGCAGCTGATCCGGGCGAAAGAGGATTATAAACGGTTCGCTGATCGCACCCGCCGGGCGACGCCACCGCTGGAAGTAGGAGATCGGGTGTGGTTGTCCACGAAACACCTCCCCACGGACCGGCCGGTACGGAAACTGGCCCAACGCTTTATCGGTCCCTTCCCTATCGAGGCGGTCATCAATCCGGTGGCCTACCGGTTGACTCTACCCCGCTCCATGCGGCTCCACCCTGTTTTTCATCGGTCCCTCCTGGTCCCTGAGGCCCCCGCGAGCCATCTCCGCCGCCCGCCGACGCCTGCCCCCCCAGCCACAGCCGACGAGGACGACGCCTCGACGTACGAGGTGGACAGTATCCGGGACTCCCGTTGGCTGAAGGGGCGCTTCCAATACCTCATCGCCTGGAAGGGGTACGGGCCCGAGGATTTCACCTGGGTGGACGCGTCTGCCGTTCAGGCCCCTGACCTGGTGCGGGCTTTCCACGAACAGTTCCCGTCCCGACCCCATCCCGACCGTCAGACCCGGGGGAAGGGCCCTGCGGTGGGGGATAGTGTTGTGGCCCCGCCCTCTGAGCCTGTCCCATCGGAGGAAGAAAGCTCCGAGCATGAGGAAGAGGAGTCAGCCAGGCCTCCCTCTCCAGGCCCCTCCCCTCTGGCATTGTCTCAAGTGCCGGTCGAGGGAGAGGAAACAGCTGCTTCGGATCAGAGTGATAATGACACATCATTCCTGGACGCACGCCTCCGAAGGCGTGATAAACGTTTGCAGCAGCTGGGGAGGCGTGCTAGGGATTAGAAGTGAGTCACTGGACCACACCCCAGAGACCACACCCCAGAGACTATATAATAGAGGGTGGTGGTCAAGGATCTTTTGTGACGAACAAAAGCAAAACCTTGGAGTCACTAAAGCCTCGTCCGGAACTGCTGGGAGGAATATTATTTCTGTTTGGACTTTCTTGAACGTTCGTATCTTATCTGTCTGTTTGTGAAAATAAAGACCCTTGGCAGACGGTGTGTCTATCGCTGCCAAGTCAGAGATAAGACCTGGGTGCGTTCCAAAGTGTTTCCTTAACCCTCGACTGGCTGTGTGGGTGTGTGTGTGGGTACGGGGACAGATCACTTGCCATCTCTCTTACATAAATTCTGCGTAAGGCAAACCAGCATTCTCTAGTAGATGTTAGCCCACACATATTGCCTATCTTCCAAGGATAAAATTTTGCTGGCTAGTGCTTTTTCATTTCACTTTTGCTGTTCCTCATTGAGATCTGCTGGAGGATTGCAAATCCTCCCTCCACAGAAACATCTCCATTTTTAGGGATAATTCAACCTATTAAGATGAGCCAAAGGAAATCCTCCTTCCTGTAACAGATAGCATCATGCTGTCATTACAGACCAACCATCCTCAAGTTCATGGATAAACTTTTACCTCACAAAAACTTACTACTGACTCTTCCGAATGCTTCTGGACCCATAACCTGTCAGGGCATTGCGCAGCAGGTGTCCAAATGAAGTCAGAGACACTGACACAAACTTGTAGTTTTATATAAATAAATATATTTTACATCTATATTTACAGCAGACGCGATAGTCAGGCAAACTGGAGCATCATGAGGTAAATTGCAGAGCAAACGGCATAGAAGAAAAAGGCAAAAAATGGAAGCTCCCCCTCCATACCCACAGCATACAATCACAGCATAGATTGCCTCACACAGGAGCCAGCACTCTTCAACCAATCAACCCTAACTTCTCTGGCTCACTGCACAACTGCAATGCTACAGCTACTAAATTTAAATATCTTAAAAGTTAGGATTAGGGCTAGATCAGTGTGTCTTAACCTTGGCAATGTTAAGATCTGTGGATGTCAATTCTTTCAGTTCTGGGGATTGAGGTCTACACATCTTAAAACTGCCAAGATTGGGAAACACTGGTTTAAATCATAATGATGATGCTAATGTATATTAACTTCAGTTTCTCGTGAATGAGTTGCCTTCCTCTTTGCCATAAGAGCCAGATTATCTATTAATTTCCCTTCCTTTCTGCTTGGTTTGTGGATCATGGGTGAAACTCTTATTTATTTCTTTTTTTCTTTTAAGGAGTGAATGAGCTACGGAATGAGACTTGTGAGATAACACTCCAGACAATCTGGCCTGTGAAAGGAGCAGAAAAAATGACAGATCAGAAGGAAACAGAATGTTGCCAAAGAAATTTATCACAAATTGGAAATCAGAAAAGCTTAGTTTCCCAGCATTTTTGGAGTATAAATGATTTTACTGCACAACAAAATCAAACTGGAATAAAAAACAAAGAGTATTTTGAGAACAGAGTGAAAACATTTGAAGAAAAAATCAGATATAAAGAACGATTACCAAACTCATTCTACAGAACAATATGGATACAAGGAAGATGAAAAAGGTCACAGTGAGATCCTTATTCTTCCCTTACCTGGAAGGGACAGTATGGGAGATAAACCTTATAGGTGCACAGAATGTGGAAAGAATTTCAAATGGAATTGTCTGCTTATTTCCCACAAACAGATCCACACAGGTGAGAAACCATACCAATGCACGGAGTGTGGAAAAAGATTCAGCAAGAACAATTTCCTTACATACCATAAAAGGATCCATACAGGAGAGAAACCCTATACATGCACGGAGTGTGAAAAGACCTTCAGTCGGAGCACCAATCTTATTTCCCATAAAAGGATCCATACGGGAGAGAAACCCTATAAATGCACAGAATGTGAAAAGACCTTCAGTCAGATCACCAACCTTATTTCCCATAGAAGGATCCATACAGGAGAGAAACCCTATAAATGCACAGAGTGTGAAAAGATGTTCAGAAAGAGAAACCACCTTATTTCCCATAAAAGAATACACAACCGGAGAGAAACCCTCTTAATGCATGGAATGTGGGAAACGCATTAATGAAAGCAGTTAACTGATCTCCCATAAAAGGTTCTACACGGGAGAAACCATATAAGTGCACAGAGTGTAGAAAAAGCTTTAGTGAAAATGGATCCCTTACAATTCACATTAGGATCCATATAGAAGAGAAGCCTTATAAATGCATGGAGTATGGAAAGAGCTTCAGTCAGAAACCAACCTTATTTCTTATACAAAAATCCACACAGGCAAAGTGATATCAATGCGCAGAGTGTGGAAAGAGATTTGGGGAAAATGAGTCTCTGATTTGCCGTAAGAGAATCCGCACATAGGAGAAACCATATAAATGCCTGGAGTGTGGAAAGAACAAGCAGCATCCTTTCTTTCCATAGAACAGGGGTGTCAAACTCAATTTCATAGAGGGCCGCATCAGGGCTGTGGTTGACCTCGGGGAGCCAGGTGGGCATGGCCAGCTTGATGCCACTAACTGAATGTGCCTGACTGGATGGGTGTGGCCAGCTTGATGCTGCTCACTGACCGTGGTTGACTTGGGACGGTCCAGCCCTCGAGCACTGGGATCCCCCAGGCCAGCCCAGCCCTGCTTCCCAGAGGGGGCATCCCAACAGTGAAATCCTACCGATTCGCACCAGTTCAGGCAAACCGGTAGTGATAAAAACTACCGGTTCGGACAAACTGGTAGTAAAAAAAACCTACCAGAACTGGTATTTCTGACTATCAGCTCTGCCGTCCGAATTAAAATCGCTAGAAATCTAAATCACACAGCACAGCTGTTCCCCCCCCCGCCCCGCTGTTATACTTGCCTTCCGAAGGCTCATTTTTCCCTGCAATTGGTGCGTACTGTGCACGCACGCATGCGTGCAGCATGCATTTTGTGCGCAACACGCTCCATGGCTTAGGGCCGGGGTATTTGTGAGACCGCCTTCTGCCGCCGATAGCCTCCCACCGACCGGTTCACTCTCACAGAGACGGCCTCCTCAGGGTGCCGTAGGCCAGGCAGTGCTGGCTGGCGACCCCCAGGGGGAGAGCCTTCTCTGTGGCAGCGCCTGCCCTCTGGAATGACCTGCCCCCTGAGATACACATGATATCAGACCTCCGGACTTTTCGTCGGGCCCTGAAGACACACTTGTTCCATCTAGCTGGGCTGGCTTGATCCCATCCTCTTAGTTTTTTAATCAAATTTCGGTTTTAATTGGGTTGTTTTAAATTCGGGCCAAAATTATTTAATTGTTTTTTAAAATGTTTTTAAATTTTATATGTTATGTTTTATTCTGGCTGTACACCGCCCTGAGTCCCGCAGGAGAAGGGCGGTATAGAAATATAATTAAATAAATAAATAAGTAAATAAATGTGTGCGTGTTTGGCGCACACTGCATGCACGCGCACTGCGCTAGCACGCACACACCACACACTTGGCACACACCACGCATGCGCAGCCAGTGAACCATAGCAAACCAGTTCAGATTTCACCACTGGGGCGTCCACTTACCTCCTCTTCCAGGCTGCTGCCAACGCCACCGCGATGCAAGGCCAGGTGAAGTGACGATACTGGGCAGAGAAGCAAAAGGTCAGGCAAAAAGGTGAAGAAGCTGTGCGTGCGCAGGCTGGGTGGGGTGAGGCCAACAAGCTGCAGCTGTTACTGGGCAGAGTGAAGCATAGCGGCCAGTCTCCATGTGCTTGCCACAAGTCCACACACACACCGCCTCCTGTGTGCACGTATTTGTGGAAGCACATAGAGATTAGCCACTATACTTCACTCTGCCAGGCAACAGCTGCAGCCCGGCCTGCCCAGCCTCATCCCTTCGCCTGGCCTCTCACCTTTGTGCCCAGTCTCGCCTGTCGCCTCCTATACTCATGCACGCCCCCTGGGATGGCGTGGGATGGGCATGTGCGCCTTGTGCCTCCTGTGTGCACGCGTGCACGCCAGGATAGGGTGGGCTGGGCCAAAGCAATGTGCGCCAGCCCCTTATAATTTCCAGGGCAGGCCAGATCCTACCACATCACTGGCTGGATCCAGCCTGCGGGCCTTGAGTTTGACATCCCTGTCATAGAAGGATCCACTTGGAGAAGCAGTATAAATGCATAAAGTGTGGAAAGAGTTTTAGTCAAAGCTCTTTGCTAATTTTTCACATAAGAATCCACAGAGGACAGAAAACCTATATATGTCCTGAATGTGGAAAGAGTTTCCGGTGCAGCAGTAATCTTACATCCCATTAAAAAGTCATATTTAAAGCTTCCATGAAAATGAAATCCTTAATATTCATAAAAGGATCCACATGGACGGGAAAACCATAAAAATGCCTGGAATGTGGAAAGAAATTCCATGAAAATGGGTCCCTTATTTCCCATAAAAAGATCCACACGGGAGAAACCCTAGAAATGCATGGAATGTGAGATGGGTAGTAACCTTAATTCACATTACAGGATCCACACGTGAGAGAAACCATATAGGTGCATGAAGTGTGGAAAGGAATTCCACCAGGAGAGTCACCTTACTTCTGATACAAGGATCCACTCGGGTACTAATCCATAGAAATCCTAGATTAATTTGCTTCAGTTCATACACACTGTCTAACAAACCTTGGAGTGTTTGTGCCTTAAGTTTCTCATGAGTTTCTGATGCACATGAGAATAAGGATTAAAGAGTTGAGTATGCTGGTGTTTTTCCCAATAAACATGGGGAAAAAGAGACATTTGGAAATCAATGGGGCCCAACATACATAAAATCAGGAAAAGTTGTCCTTCACTCCTGAATAATCGAGGTGTTTCTTCTGATCAAATAGACCATAAATAGAATATTGGCCACTGATTTTCAACATTGCTATAAAAGAATGAAGCAAACATACCAAGTGAGAATCTGGGCAGAAGACAGGCCTTTTCAGTGATGGCCTCAACTCTGTGGAACATGCTGGAGATGTATTTAGTCTTTTTGCTCCTAATGTTTAGGTAGCTTTTGAATTTCTTTTCAATTTGGACGTTTAGGCCTAGACAAGGATGAGGGCACCAGATTTTCTTATTTTTCCTGTTGCAATTGGTACTATATAGCATATGTTGGGGATGGGGAGAAATAGGCTCAGACTCAACCCCTCCAAGACCGAGTGGCTGTGGTTCCCGGTGCCGCGATATAGTCAGCTGGTGCCTTCGCTGACTATTGGGGGTGAGTCTTTACCCCCCACAGAGAGGGCCTGCAATCTGGGCGTCCTCCTGGACGCACGACTGTCTTTAGAAGAACATATGACGGTCGTGGCCAGGGGGGCTTTTTATCAGGTTCGCCTGATCCACCAGTTGCGGCCTTTTCTGGACCGCAACGCCTTGCGCACAGTCACTCACACCCTTGTCACCTCCCGACTGGACTACTGCAATGCTCTCTACATGGGGCTCCCCTTGAAAAGCACCCGGAGGCTCCAACTGGTCCAGAATGCGGCCGCGCGGGTGGTTATGGGCGCAACTCGTGCCCACGTGACACCCTCCTGCGCGAGCTGCACTGGCTCCCAGTGGTCTTCCGGGTGCGATTCAAGGTGTTGGTTACCACCTTTAAAGCGCTCCGTGGCATAGGACCCGGGTACCTTCGAGACCGACTTCTGCCACCAATAGCCTCCCACCGACCAGTCCGCTCCCACAGAGAGGGTCTCCTCAGGGTGCCATCGGCCAAGTTATGTCAGCTGGCGACACCCAGGGGGAGGGCCTTCTCTATGGGAGCCCCAGCCCTGTGGAATGAACTGCCCCCGGAAATACGTAAGATCTCCGACCTCCGAGTGTTTCGCTGCGCTCTGAAGACCCTGTTGTTCCGCCAGGCCGGGCTATTAACATAACGTTTTAAATTGGGGTATTTTAAATTTCTGGGATTTTAATTGGAGCCTAATTATTTAATGATTTTAAATTTTAACTGTTGTTTTGTTTCTGTGTTTTTAAATAGGCTGTACACCGCCCTGAGTCCTTCGGGAGAAGGGCGGTATAGAAATAAAATTATTATTATTATTATTATTATTATTATTATTATTATTATTATTATTATTATTATTATTATTATTATTATTAACAGAGCTTGCAAGGCTAAACCCTTGTAAACCCTGATATATTGCTTTGTATATTGTGTGTACTCAGCCATCCCCCCTCATTCTTTTGTAAATCCTCTTATGATGAATCTCTTCTGTGCACTCACAAAAGCTGATGTCTAATAAAGTTGGATACTTTTAAAGATGGTATCAGACTCGGTGTTAATTTGCTGCCATTTGGGGGCAGAGATTGGTAGAAGTCTCCAATCTGGTTTTGGATAGAGAAAAATGTACTCCCTTCTTTTCAAAATGCTTTTTTTAATACTAAGAGCATGCACAATGGGCAAAGAAGCTTTCAAGGGGCGCAAACACCGGAAAACAAATATTGTGGTATGTGGGAATCAGGTGGCCATAGTACATGTATAGACCAGTTTAACTGGTTGGACACTGTATGGAGCTTGGCACCGAAATAATCTGAGTGGAAAAAGCGGGTTCATATGGATACTCTCTGAAGGGCCCTATTCGTTCTCTCTTTTTCAGAACATAGACTGTATTTGCAAAGGCAGAGACATCTCCTTGTAGAACATTCCTGAGGGTTGAGGTAATCTGATAACGGGAGGATGGGCCCCTTGGCTGGCAGCAAATATGATAACATGGCAAAGTTAAGTTTTGTTTTTACATTAGGTATCGCTTTCCTAGAATTCACGTGATTTACTGTAATATGGTAGGATGTGAAAGTTATGTCCAGATATGGAGAAAATCCTTTGTATCACGGATGTAATATGAGAATGTATAGCTGTAATCATGCCTTCTGATACGCCCAATACCCTTGCTTAATAAAAGAGAGGTCTGGAGTCAGCTCGAGGCTCTCTCATCACGAGAAACACCTGTCCTTGTGCTTTCTCTAATCTGGACTACTCATGAGAAGCCCACCAGGATGAATGCAACAGTGGTAACCAAGCAGCAGATCTTTTCATAATAATTCTGCTTGAGCAGGGATTAGGCTAGATGTCTAAGGTTTGTTCCAACTTTATTTGTCTGTGGAGTTTCTCAATTATCCAGGTCATGGTTGAAAGAGGAGTTTGAAAGAAGAGTCAGAGACCAAAATTGAACAGTCCTCTTTCAACAGAGGGAGAGGGATAAAACATCATCTATCTCCAGTCTACAACACAGTCCTTTCAACAGTTCCAAGAAGGCTCCACCCCCATTTGCACTATTCAGGTGACCCAGAAGACACAGACAAACCTCCAAGTGGCCTCAATGACTCTCTAAAAAGACTGCAAATTACCAACTGTCTGCAAGGAGTATAAATCCTTCCATTCCACACCATCCAGTCAGAGCTGAAGAAGCTTCTTGGATGAGAAGCGAAATGTCTTCAAAGAAAAACAAGAAAATCCAGTTGTCTCTTAAAAAAGAACTTTTGGAATTCCAACTTTATTACTCTATACCTTCTCATGCTTCTGGGCATTCCACAGGAAAGAATAAGAAAAGGAGAAGGGGAGAGAGTAGAGAAGAGAAGAGAAAACACAGTTGGAAGGGACTTGGAGGTCTAGTCCAACCCCTGCTTAGGCAGGAAACCCTATACCATTTCAGACAAATGGTTATCCAATCTCTTCTTAAAAACTTCATGTTGGAGCATTTACAACTTATGGAGGCAAGTTGTTCCACTGATGAATTGTTCTGTCAGGAAATTTCTCCTTAGTTCCAAGTAGCTTCTCTCCTTGATTAGTTTCCACCCATTGCTTCTTGCCCTGCCCTCAGGTGCTTTGGAGAAGAGCTCGAATCCCTCTTCTTTGTGGCAACCCCTGAGATATTGGAACACTGCTGTCGTGTCACCCCCTAGTCCTTCTTTTCATTGAAATAGACATACTCAATTCCAGCAACCATTCTTTATGTTTTAGCCTCCAGCTCCCTAATCATCTTTGTTGCTCTCTGCTCACTTTCTAGGGTATCAACCTTTTTTTTTTTTTTACATCGTGGTGACCAAAACTGGATGCAGTATTCCAAGTGTGGCCTTACCAAGGCATTATAAAGTGGTATTAACACTTCATATGATCTTGATTTTATCCCTCTGTTTATGCAGCCCAGAACTGTGTTGGCTTTTTTGGCAGCCACAGCACACTGCTGGCTCATATTTAAATAATTGTCCACTAGAGGACTCCCAAGATCCTTCTCACAATTACTACTATTGAACTAGGTAGCACCTATACTGTACCTGTGCATTTGATTTTTCTTTCCTAAATGTAGAACCGTAGTTCTTTCACCATTGAATTTCATTTTGTTAGATAGCGCCCAATATTCAATATTTTAATCTTTTTAAAGAATGCAGGATTTGGGGCAAAAGTACAGTTTTAACGAGTTAATTTGTCTAAAAAAGATGGCTGAATGTGGCATAGTGGAAAATGAGTTGCAACTTGCACTCTCTGTTACAGGTCAAGGAGCTCTTGCGATGTCTATGATTGCAACAGAGGTGCCATTAAAATGACACCTTGCAATATCCTAGAGAGGCCAAACGTCAAGCCAGGATCTTCACTGTCTGCCCGGTTGCCCTTGGGTTTGAATTAGGACTCTCTGGTCTGGGTTGCAAAACTAGAAATGCAAGATTGCTCCAACGAGAAACATAAAATGTGTAAAATCATTAACTTTTATATAACCCCTTTTTATTAAACTTTTGCCCCATGCGCTGCGCATGCAACCATACCATCTGCACTAGCATGTGGCTTTCACGTGGCTCCCCCATGCGCTGCGCATGAAAGAACACAATACATTGTTTGTGTACATGTTTGCACTTTTGAACCATTCTTGACTCCTGGAGGCCACCTGCAGGGGTTTTTTTTGCCATGGTTTTTGTTGGAAGCAATTTTCCCTTCTTCCTAGAGCTGAAAGTGTGTGACTGATCCAAGGTCATCCAACTGGCTTTGTGACCAAGATGAAACAACAACTCACAATCACCTGGTGGGTAACCTAACCACCACACCAAACGGAGTCCCTCATTTTTAATGACTCTCCTTAAAATCCAACTACTGGATTACAATTTCAGAAAATTTATTTATTTATTTATTTTATTTATTTATTTGTTTTAATTTGTATACCGCCCTTCTCCAACAGGACTCAGGGCAGTGAACAGCCAGAATAAAACAAAACATACAAAATTTAAAAACAGTTTAAAAATAATTAAATATTTTCGGCCACAATTTAAACTACCCAATTAAAATCAATTAA